TATATATATATGCATGTATGTGCAGTACTGTGGTGATAATAATGCACCTGCAGTGATCTGACCCCCGGTGTTTGCTCCTCACTGGTGCAGTGGAGGTTTCAGCACCGTGCAGGCGTGGACCAGAACAAAAGGCGCAGGCTGCAGCAGAGCCGCGCCGCAGAGGAGCCCCTGATGTCAGGGTGTGAATCCTCACCCTGAGCTGTCCTCCTCGTTCTTCTCCGCGGACAGAGAACAAGTGGAACCACACGGAACACGCTGCACACGTTCTTTGACATTTGACGTTAAAAAAAACCACAGTTTTAAAAACTCCTCACTGACGCCTGACCGGCAGCCACAGTCTCACACTAGCGGGTCATCAATGCGGGTCAAAGGGGGGTTTGATGCCTCGGCCCCCCGCTGAGAGGAGGACGGAGCTCTTACCTGGAGCTGGAGGCGGCGGAGCGGCTCTGGAACCCGGAGTGCGTGAAGTGATCTGCGGGGACAATCAGGGAGCTGCGGGGCCCTCTGACCACGCCCACCGGCCACTCAGCTACCGTAAGCACAGTGAAGACAGCGCAGTGCGATTTATCAAAAAACCAGCTCTGCATTTTCAGGGATTAAGAAAAAAAAAAATCATTAAATATAAATGATGTGTGATTATATATATTGTTGGAAAGACACTTCCTAAATGTGAACAAGGTGAAAAGAAACGAGGGACGCTGACGTACAAACAAATTAAGATTAAGATCGAGTTTAGAAAATTAAACTTCTAAACAATATTCACTATTGTATTGTCAGTATGTTTAAATATTCATTATATTAATACTCATATAAAATATCAGAAGCAGTTTCCTAAGTATCTAAGGTAACAACACAATTGAGCTTTGGTTTGGAGTCAGTGGCAGATCTAGAAATGAATTACAGCTGTGAGAAGATACTCACTGTATTGTACATTTGCACAGTGAGAGGTGATTTTAAATGTAGTCATGTATAGAATGAATACCATGACGTGTTCTGTCTCTGGTGCAGTGTGATTGCACACATACATCTATTTGTGTGGTGCTGTAACATTTGAATATATCAAACACAAAGGGACTGGAACCGTAAAACCTTAAAAATCAAAGCTTGGCAAAGTAAATAAATAAATGAGAATCAACCTTCCAGTCATATTTAACAGTCTCTCACCTGCTGCAATGGAACTAGATGTCCATCACTAATGTGTCTGCCACCATCTACTGTTGAGAACAACACATTACAGGAGGGGAGGAACGCTGAGGCAGAGCTCTACCTCGTTTCAAACCTTTAAATCAACACCTCGACTCCTGAAGAACATAACGAGTGACTTGGACAAAGCAGATAAATGATTTTTCATGATACTTCAGAGGCGTAATGTTCACCAGGAGGGAAGATAAACACAAAAATACACTAAAGCTCCTTAAATCTATCAGCGATTACACCTCTGCTAACTGTTTAGCACCAGCTCATTGAATAATGCTGGAACATATATAATAGCATATATAATATATTTGAGTTACATTTACATAACTTAAAAAAACTGCTGCAACATCAAGACCCTTTTTTTTTTTTTGATATAGGAGGTAAATGAGACCAGAGTTCAGAGTTTCACTTTTTATTTACATTTTAAAGTGCTCATGAGATTAGAACTGAAATATTATGATATAGAATATTATATTTAATATATAATCTACATTATTACAAAACTGTCACGTTATGTTTCTTGGTGGTTTCAGTCTGTGAAGAACCCATGAAAGTTTGGGGCTGATCAGGGGACGGATGATTTTTCTTTCACAGATATTAGGATTAAGATTCCCACACACAGCATGCAACATGCAAACATTGGGAAATTTGACCTCTGTATTTAACCCATCCGTGTGAACGGAGCACACGCGGAACACTCGGAACACAATCCAAAACCCTAACCCGGGGAGCAATTGGGGGGTTCGGTGCCTTGCTCAAACTTCTACAGACACCACCTGACCTTCTCCAGTTCTTGCAGGTTCCTCACTTCTGGTGGACGATGCTGCGGCCGATGAGTTCCTTCATGATCTCGTTGGTGCCTCCGTAAATGGGCTGAATACGGGAGTCGACAAACGCCCTGTGTAAACAAACGGATGAGCTCAGCAACCTGTTGATCAACGTGGAACAAGGTAGCTGTGTGAGTCTTACTTGGCGATGGGGTACTCCCACATGTAGCCCCAGCCTCCGTGGAGCTGGAGGCACTGAGTGGCGACTTTGTTCTGGAGGTCAGACGCCCTGGAGAAAAGACGCAGGATGAGGATCCTTCAGCTCACAGAAGAAACTTGGCCGGTTTGTGAGACGCTGGTTAAAAACACACTCTCACCAAAACTTGGCCATGGAGGCGGTGGGGGCGTCCAGGCGTTTCTCAGCGTGGAGCTGAAGGCAGCTATCGATGAAGGCTCGGCCCACGCAGATCTCGGTTTTCAGCTCCGCAAGCTTGTGCTGCACAGTCTGCGGAGGACGATGAGATGTTGAGACATTTAATTCTCACATTAACGAGTGGCGGTGAAAACGCTGGCTGCCGTTACGCACCTGCAGGTGAGCGATGGTCTTGCCAAAAGCTTTCCTCTGCAACACGTAGTTCCTGGTTTCCTCAAACATGAACTCACAGCTCGCTATGGCCATGACAGCGATCGCCAGACGTTCCTGTTCAACCACACAAACAGGATTTAATGGTCAGGAAGGAGAAAGTGAATTGTTTGCTCATGTGTTTCTATCACCTGAGGAAGTTCGTTCATCAGGTAGTAAAATCCCTTGTTGACTTCGCCCAGCAGAGCGTCAGCCGGCAGCCGCACGTCCTCAAAGAACAGCTCAGCCGTGTCCTTTGAAAGTAAAGAAATAGATTCAAACTTCTGTCCGACTTCTCTCAGGATGTGTAGACAACTGCTGGAAACTCTGATCGTCAGCACCTGAGCCTTCAGTCCGATCTTCTCCAGCTTGCGTCCTTTCTGGAAGCCCTTCGTGCCGTCCTCCACCAGGAACAGGCTGATGCCGTGTGCTGCCGACTTCGCCTCACGATCCGTCATGGTCACCACAACTACCACGTCGCACATCCACCCGTTTGAGATAAACACCTTGCTGCCGTTGAGAATCCAGTCGCTGCCGTCCCTCTTGGCGTACGTCTTCACACCCTGGAGATCACTGAGGAGAGACAGAGCGAGGTCATGAGAGCTGCATCATGTTTTCTCTGAGGTTTTCTCCGTGTTGCTTCCTGACCTGCCTGCTCCTGGTTCAGTCATACCAATCGCAGATATGCTCTTCCCGGCAGTCATGTCTGGAATGAAGCGTTCAATCTGCTCCTTGCTGCCGTAGTTGGAGATGTACGGCATGACGACGTCAGAGTGCAACGAGAAACCCGGACCCGTGCAGTTGCAGTACATTCTAGATTCGGAGACAAAACGAAAAAAATCTCATTAAAAAAGTCAAGTGTTTGAACTCAGATGTGTTTTTTCGAGGTTTAGGTACAACTCACTGCTCCTCCCACATGACAGCCGCCGAAAGCAGATCTCCTCCAACGCCACCGCGCTCCTCTGGGATCAATATTCCCAGCAGGCCTTGCTCCCCAGCCTTCTCCCACAGCTCCCGGCTCACCTGACCTGCGTTCTCCCACCTGGAACAGGGCAAAAGGACGTGAGGCGGAGAACGAAAGGAGGTTACACAGTGAAGTCTCTTCTTGGACATTTCACATTTGATTTTAGTGAGTTTATATCTGTGGTTGTTTTTTAAAAAGTCATTCGATTGACTTTGTGATGTTAACATGAGCCTCCTTGGGAAAACACTCTGTGAGGACACCTACTCCGCGTGGTATGGAACCACTTCCTCTTGAAAGAAACGCCGCACGTTCTGTCTGAAGAGGTCGTGGTCCTCGTCAAATATTCTGCGCGTCCCGATGTCCATCATGCTCTTGGTGCTGGACGTCTCGGGACGGAGCGAGAGGGAGGCCGGCCTGGAGTCCTGTCTCTGACTGTACTGGAGTCTGAGTCACACAAATTATTAGACAAGATAAGAAAATCCTCGATTAGTCCCAATAAGTGATAAATAAATCAACTTGTAATGTACATTTAAAAATACACATTGCACATAAGACATAAGGAAGAGATTGATTTTAAGATTATTATTTTTCTGTATATGTAAAATAAAAGAAAGGAGGAAGATTCTTAAAGATGGAAAATATAGTACTTGTACTTTTCTGGATCAGCTTTTTCAAATTAAACCTCACTGTGTTCGTACCTTTCAAAATAAGGGCAGTGTGACACGGCATAATATCACAGCTGCGATCTGATGCGACATTTAACTTTAAAAAATAAAACTGATATCAAATTCAAACACAAGTAAACATTCAAACATGACGTAACGAAAAGTTTGTTCGCAAGTTTTCGATCCTTTCACAACAAAGCAAAAACTTTTTTTTTTAAAAAGTTTAAAGTGATGGAAACGAAATGTTTGACCTGGAAGTTGTCGCAGGAAACACTGAAGTTCGTCCAGAGACGTTTCTCATCTTCACCAAACCAGAATGAATCCTGTGAAGCAGCGACATGTTCAAACACCAGGTTCCAGCTCCAGACACAACAACGAGAAGTGGAGACCCACGACCCTTGCAGACACTTCCGGCTTGGGGAGGAAGTCTCGCGAGACTGACAAGTACTGTGAGTCTCACATATACATACACATATAACATATAAAATATATTATTCTAATTATATGTATATATATATATATACATATATATATAYAYATAWMAYATATATATATATATATATATATAATATATATACATATAACATATATATTCGAATAATATAATACAATATAATAATATATATAATAATTCAATTTAATACAAATATTACATGCACATGTATATTCAGATTTCATGGTTGACACTGCACAGTTTCTTCTTCCATTTCGTTGGTAATATATGTGATATTTAATGGAAATATATAAGGCTTTTTATCATAAACCTATTGAGTTGTGAAAATTAAAAAACGTTTAAAGCCCAAAGCTATTTTATGAGCGATTTATGAAATTAAAAAATAAACAGTACATTTCCATTATTGATTTAATGTGCTTGCTCGGCTGGTTTGCCTTTGTTGAGCCTAACCTTGTGCAAACTGTTAAGAATTAAGGATATTGTGGGTGGTGCAGTGTTTCCTACGTTAAAGGAAACACGATAGGAAGCATCAAAGCTCCTTTTCTTAGCATTAATTTCAGCTGCTCTTACTATGGCTGCTACTTACATATGTCAGGGTCATCTCACTTTATTAGGAACCAAGCAACACAAAGAAACAGAATGTGTATAGAGCTGTAATCCCAAAATGTAAATAAAGCAGCAGTGTGTGGGTTGATTTTTCCTCTTTACATTGTAATTGTATTTTTCTCCCTGTCTTAATATATATATATATATATATATATATATATATATATATATATATTTTTTTTTTTGTAGCTTATGCAACATTTAAGAAAAAAATATTATAATAACTAAAAATATGAAGAGAATTAGACTCAAATCAGAGCTTTTTCAACCAGTAAAGACAGAAAATGGCTAAATGAGGCTGTAGCAGCAGAATCTGCAGTTTACTGAACATGTTTTAATGTTTATGAATTTAATTTTGTATTTTTCACGAGGCTGAATGTGCCGTTTGGTCTTTTTCTTTTGGTTTTATGACCCGTGCACTGAGGGACGTCTGCAGGAGTTGGAGGTCAATGAGAGATCAAGAATCAACCCAGATGGGATGTACGTTGGAAAAGTTTATTCTGACATGAACAGAGTGAAAATAAAGAAAACTTTTCAGGGGAAGGGGGGAGACTTTTGGCGGTCAATCCACGCCCATTCTCCAGCACCTTAGGTATTGCTGGGCCAGTGGTGGCGTGACTGAATGAGGTGGCGGTGGGAAGGGAGGGATCTACCCTCACTTGATGAGCGGTCACCCCTTCTCCCCCGTTCCTCACCCCATGCGGAGAGTGGAGACGCGCCCTGGGAGGGAGAAGAGGCCAGGTGATGGGGGATCTACAACGGAGAGGTGGTGGTGGTCACGTCCCGAGAGAGGAGGGGCTTGAGACGAAGCTTACAGGAAAACAAAATTAACAAGATGGGTTTGCTTCAACATCCCTTGTACATAGTCCTTGTCTTTCCTTGGTTGGTCTTTGAAACAGTGTAGATGTCCGGGACACTGTCGGCTGTCTGTAGCGAGCTACAGCTTCTTCAGCACTCCTTCCACGCCGCTTACACAGACATGATGTGCTTGACGAAAGCTGCAAGAGGACCAGTCGAATGTTAAGCATCACACGTATAAAAGAAGTGAAAAAACCAAAGGGGAGAAGCATGCTGGGAAATGAACCTTACCCTCATAGTGCACACTGCCGTTCTCGTCCTCCTGGCCGGCCATAAGGGCGTCGATCTCGTTCTCGGTCATCTTCTCTCCTGCAGCCACATGAGGATCCGTGTCAGGTTCATGCTCACATTCTGTGCACGCCAAGCAAACTATATTTGTGCACGTCTATATTTGGAGAAAGGCGACTTGAGACTCACCAAGGGTGGACAGCACGATGCGCAGCTCAGCGCCCATGACTGTGCCGTTGCCCTCCTTGTCGAAGACGCGCAGACCCTCAACGTAGTCGTCGTAGGTTCCCTTGGGGAGGGCGTCGACCAGTTTGAGCATGGGCATGAAAGCATCGAAGTTGAGCCTCTTGTTGGCCATGTCTGCGGAACGAGAAGACAAACGTGAAATACATCAATTTCTCCTCTCGACAAACTCGCTATTAGAACATTTCTTGATCAATAACTCGTATTTGTCTCTTGGGTTTTTGTCTGAGTGTTTGGGCGTCTCACCATCAGCTGATGGGTTGCCCAGGATTTTGATGACGTCCTTGTTGGTGGGGTTCTGGCCCAGGGCGCGCATGATGTCGGCCACCTGGTTGTAGGCCACCTGGCTGTCACCAATTCTGTCGAAGAGACCGAAAGACTCCTTGAAGTCTGAGGAGAGAGGAGAGAAGCGTGAGTTACGGAACACCGACGCAGACAGAGACGTTCTGGGTTTTGCTTATAGGAACAAAAGGCGCTGAGGAGAATTTGCAAATGGTTCAATTGAATCTGTCTAAGCTTCAGGGCGTGAAAAATAATCTGCTTTATGTTGCAGTAAAGTCGTTTTATTCGATACATCATCCGAGCTTATGTCTGTTAGACCCATTTTTGTTGTTCTTTCTATAAGCGGGTTCTTGGTCAGCTGTGGTGTCACCCTGGGATCAAACGCTGCATCCTTCCCTCATTGTTCTGAGTTAACTCGGAGCGACAGCTGTATCCAAGCAGAGACGAGAGGAAGGTATGTGTGTGTGTGTGTGTGTGTGTGTGTGTGAATCCACCAGGAAGTCAACTCAGTGTGACCTCTCTGACAGATGAATGTGGTTTCTGAGCGGCAGCAGCGAGAACAGCTGTACCTCCGACCCCCCACCCCTGATCCCCTGCACCCCCAGCCCCCCCTTTCCTCCATTCCTGCCTCCATTTGCTTTTGGGGCGACACTGGGAGCAAACTGATCCCCCCTGACGGAGCGGCCCCGGCCATGTAGAGGCATCATCGCTCCAGTTACACATGGGAATGCTGAGCACGGTGTAATCAACACCTTGTCCTACACGACCTGCGTTAATCCACGGCCACGCAACCTACGGCCTCAGAATGTACAGAAGAAGCACTTTTCTCTGGTTCGGGTGAGAATGAAGAAATAAAAGCTTTTATACAAAAGTGTCATTCTGCTCTTTTTTAACTGGGGACACAAGAAAATCCTTTACACACTGAACAGAAGGTTCAGGATGGAGCTCTGTGGGCGTCACAGGTGGGATTCCTTGTGTAAGAGGACGCCGCTGGGTCTGCACCTTAAACCTCGGCCCCATGGATTAACACTTCTGCTGTGTAAGGGCCACAGGGGCCCGCGAGACCTGGCCGGGCAGTCTTAGAATAGACGGATATCAGATGTGTCGCGACAACTGGACAAGACTGACACGCACGACTTTCTCCAGCTTCACTTTGGACAAAATGTTTGAGGAGACGAGCGACTGAGGTGAGAGGGACATTTTAGAGGACACGATCTCGCCCGCTGCTGATGCCGTAAAGGAAATGTCAGATTTGAGTTATCTGTGATAAAGGATGAGTCTTCTTCACTTACCCTCAATCTGTTCCGCTGTGAACTCGGTCTGTCACGTGGACACACACAAGGACGGACACACAGACACACAGAGAAATGAATGAAAAGAGGTGATTTACCAGTTTAGAGAACAAACAGATTTTTATATTAAATAATTAATTAAGCAGAATCTAGGAATTTATCGTGCAAAGATGGAAAATGATCAACTTTTTAAACAAGTCTATGTACATATGTATTTCAAGGCAGTGTTCCTGGGCTCGTGTGACAAATATCAGCCTTGAAATATTTTTTCACAATTTATTTCAGTAAGTTTTATCAGAGCTCAATTAAAGACGGTTTCTCGTCCCTTGCTCCATTTCAGTCCCAGGTTTGGGCTTATTTTGAAAAGTTGAAATCCAAACCCAGAAAATAATCAGCCCATTGGTCGGAATTAAAAAATAAAAAGGTAACTCCATCGGCACCACCCCACCCAAAAGGTCCAGAAAAAAAAACACAACATGGTACACACCATTTTGGAGAGTAGGCGCTGGAGGAGCGGAAAGAAAGGAGATGAGAAGCTGAAGTCCCAAGACAGACTGGTCCTGGGCCAGGGTCAAAGCCCCCTCTTATTTATCCCGGCCCTGTGATGTCACGTATGCTAATGAGGCGGATCAGATGACACGGAACATCTTTAACTTTCTTAGGGCAAACGGAAAGAAGAGCTGAGCGTCCTCAGAGCAGGGGGAGTCGGACTTTAGAAGGGGAAGGGGTTATTTTTAGACGGCAGGAGAAACTGTGTCAAGATTCGAACTCCTTCTTCTAAAGATTTATAGCTGTTCTAACTCGTCTGTGGATTAAGAACAATGATGTCATCGATTTATCACGATTAGAGTTGTGTGTTTTGTACCGTCGACCGTACCGTGTTGGTGTAAATGCAGAAATCCCAGCTGCCTCAGTTCAGAGGGGCTCCAGGTCGAGAGAGCTCATTTACAAGGTGGTATTTTTAAACAGGGGGGACTTCTCCTCCTCTTATGGTGAAATAACAGCTGAGAAAAAAGACACGAAAAGTCATTTCCACTCAGACGACATCTTAAAAAGTTCAATTAGGGATTCAACGTCAAACGTTTTGGTTCAAAGTACAAATGTGGGGTTTGTGGACAATTATGTGCGACAGATTAAATAATAAAAACGATGGAAAATTGAAGGACTTTGTAGATTAACTTCTGTTTGCACAGATTAATGGAACTTTATAAAGTTTGGTTATGGTTTATTTCATGTTTGCAGATTCAGCATGTTGGTGGAGCCTCAACTCAAGGCCCCATTTGTTCTGGAGCTTTCAGCCGCGACACGGTTGAAAGCTCTGGAAAGAGCCAGAAGCATCTGTCAGGTGATTCTAACGTTTATGTTGCACACAGATAAAGACTGGAACGACCATCATCATCTCAGCCCTCATGCATTTTATGTTGCTTCCCATTATTTGTTATGACTGGAGATGTGACCCACATATTGTAGGTCGCTCCTCGTTTATGCTCGGCGTTGTTGCAGCTTCTTCGTGTCACTTTTCTTTTAGTGTTTGCGAGCCTAGCCATTAAACGGCGCGTGTTTTTTAATCTGTGTGAATTAGATTTTTACGGCACTGAGGCTTCAGAGCTGTGAGACGCAGTCTGCATCGTGAACAAGCAGCTCTGCATTTCACACACACACACCGAACTGATAAGGCTACTGCAGGGTCCTGTGTTTCAATTAACTAATTAATATCAATTCAACAGTGATCATGTTCTGATAAAGAATAATATTTACCTGCAGATGGGATTAAATGAGCTAAATAGATGTTGTTCTGATGTAACCTGCTCAGTCTTTGCAACTGATGTTTGTTAAAAATGTCAAATTGTTTCACCGACAGTGAAATAGCAGGAAAAGCATTTTAGGAGGAGGAGAAATAAATCTATAGATATACAAATGAGCGGAGGATTAGATATTTCATGCTGCAGCAAATCTGAACAGTTGAGTGCTGAACGTCAGGAGTTGGAGGACTTTTGTAGGAGTAGGTGAAGCAGCCAGACCACACCCCGGGACAGATGAGCACTATTTTTACTCCCGTAAGGTGTTCGGTTTCTCCTACGATCTGCGGAGATGACAAGGAGGGGGTGGGGGAGGAGAATATGAACGCTCCCACTCTTCAAGGCCCTCTGGTACAGTAACCTCCTCCTCCTCCTCCTCCTCCTCCTCTCTTGCCCTCCAGCACCTAAGGTCATAAAGAAGCTGGGGCAGGGGGCTTAAAAAAGAGCGCAGGCATTGTGTCGCTCTGGTTTTCAGAGTGTTACATGAGCCTTATTTGGAATAGAGAGCGGAGCAGCTGAGCCAAGTGTCACATGGAGGACGAGGAGGATTGTAGACATTTCTCAGTGTCACATGAGGCGTCGAGTGTTTACTCGTTACGTAACGAAGCCAAAGCCGATCAATTTACAGCGTTTTGTATGACTTCTTAATAAATAAATTCGTATAAAATCAGACTCATGTAAAGGTGAGCGTCATCTCCTGCGGACTTTATCGGCCAGGTGGAGGTCAGGGGTCAGGTGGCCCTCTCTGCTGTCCCCTTGTGGCTCTTTGCTGCTGCATGAACACACAGAGGTGCTGAAATCCACGACAGGGGAGAGGTTGTAAAAACACACATGTTTTATTGTCCAGACAGAGCAGAGGACAGGACACAGCGTGACTGGGTTTTATTTAGTAACTTTACTGATGACAACAGAAATCAACAGAAAATCAACGCAAAGCATCTATTTTTATTTTTAACAGAACAAAGTTACAGGATAAGATAAATATACTGCTTTGAAACAGCAAAATGAGTTTCCTGCGGCCCTAGAGGACGCCACAATGTTGAGTTAAATGAATACACACGAAGAGACTCTCAGCTATCACACGTCTTAGAGATAATTAGGAGAGAACAGAGTTTACAGCAGCAGAAACATGAAGCAGGAGTCAACGCCAGCCGCAGAGTTTCATGTCGAGTCTCTGTTATTTACCCAGATGGACGCAGTGTTTCCATGCAGGAGTGCGACAGACAGCAGGAGGATGGATCTTCTTCTGTGGGGAAGATTTCACACCTCAAAGGCTGGAAACCTCGCCTTCATCGGCTGCAGAAGGTCGGCCAGGAAGTAGATGGTGCCCGCCATGCCTGTGAACGGGACAAGACACAGTGAGGTTACAGATATTATTGTTAAGCCTTTTATTTAAAAAGGATAAGAGCTGAAATGTTTCATAAGAGTTCTAGAAGTATAATAAGCAGGTTTTGTTATTGTCCAGAAACAGGAAATTGGAATCAGTCTCTCACAGTTTGTCAAAGAGCAACAAACGCAGCAGGTGGGATTTAACGAGCTAAACATATCAGGAACACTTAACTCAGGATTGTTTCATTCACAGAAACACTTGATTCTAAATGATATTGAGGGCACATGGTCAGAAATTACCTTCAAACAGTGAGAAGGGAGTGTCAGGAGTTCTGCAGCCGTGTTTGCCGTAGTTCATGCACCAGTCTGCAAACTGTAAAGAGAGAGAGAGAGAGAGAGAGAGAGAGAGAGAGAGAGAGAGAGAGAGAGAGAGAGGCAGAGTCATAATAAGATTCCTGTTGTGTCGCTGCAGAGCTGTAGCTGGACGTCTCAGGAGAACAGCGAGCAATGTCAACAACAGCTAAAACTTGTGCTCGTCTCAGTGAAATCCAAGCATCTGTCGAGGATCAGATTATGACCACAGTGTCACTGAGTTGCCGTGGGAGCATGTAACGGAGCTTAGAGACATCTGAAGAGTCTTTTTCCAGCCTCTATGAATAGATTCATATTAATTAAAGTACACGCGGGACCCGTGCCACCTGGAGCGTATCCATTATTGTATTACACAGTCTCACCATGCAGGCTCTGTGGAGGTGCTTGGGATCCCATGTTTGCCGGTACAGAGCCAGGAAGGCGTAGGCGTTACCCGCTGCACCGTGACACAGCCCATAGCCCTTCTTCAGCAAACCCCAGGCCCAAACCACTTCTCCACACTGGAGGGCTTCGTCCAGGTACTGAGCTCCTCCGAAGGCCTGGAGCAAAGCATGAAGAAGAAGGGAGGAGGTAGAAGAACATTTACATGAACCATCGGGTGAGATTAAAACTAAACATGACCACTAGATGTCACTATGACTCCGCAACTAAAACCCCTTCACTCTGTGAAAGTAGAAAATCCACGAGGCTCGCTCGTTACCTTGTGCGCCTGCAGGAGCATGTAGATGACGCCCGGCGACCCGTGGCACCAGTGCACCAGCAGGTCTCTGTCGTCACCGATGCAGGGAGGGTAGTTTCCTGACGGGAGCTTGAGTCTGCAGACGTGGTCGACGCTGGGTTTCACCAGCATGTGAACGTGCTCCTCCGCAGAGACGAAGCCCGGCTGCAGGGGAGAGAGAGAGTGACGGCTGGAATCAACACTGGCTTTACAGCTGAAACAATTAGCACAGCTTCTTTACCCTGGGCCATAAGAACAATGAACACACAAACTCTCAAATAACTGTGAACGCTCAAAAAAAACCTGTGCAATAACTGTATTTTCCATGTGCAATAATATACCTACCGTATAACTTCTTCTATAAATGATCTCTATTTGCACTGTAGGATCTGTTTGACTCATATCTGCATATTCCATTTTTTATTTATTCTTCTTCATGCATATGTTCTACCCTCGGTTGCACTGTAGGGCCTGTTTACATTTTCCTTCCTGCTTATCTAAGATGGCCGTTTGTTTATTGGTGTGTGTGTGTGTGTGTGTGTGTGTGTGTGTGTGTGTGTGTGTGTGTGTGTGTGTGTGTGTGCNGTGTGTGTGTGTGTGTGTGCGCGCTGCACTAATGTGAATGTAAATATTACTTTCGGGCTTCTTTGGTGGTGGGTCAAATATCCTTTGAAACACTTTCTGGAGCTGCACCTTAATTTTGTTGTATGTTGCACAATGACAATAAAGTTTCTATTCTATTCTATTCAATCAACTGATTAATTGTTCAGCTTCTTTTCATTCTTTTGTTTCACTTTATATTGAGTAACTTTTACATTTTGGAGGATTCTATAAGTATTATACACACTTGATCATATACTGGATGATGAGTTTATGTATTTTGATGAGAGTAATAGTCTAATTAATCAATGTTTCAGTAGATTATGGTCTGTGCAACAGTGTTGGAGGATAAAACAGCTCAAAAAGCTTCAATATCTAAATTAACACTGATCAGAAACTGTTTCCGGAGTCAGGGATCGTCTTTACCTGCAGGAGGAAGTAGTAGATGCCCGCGAGTCCGTGTGCGGCGCCGATGTACTGCTCCTGGTACCACTCGTACATCAGAGGGCTCTGGTTCTGGACCCTGAACTTCCTGCTGAGGTGCACGCCTGATGCGAGCACGCTCTCGCTGACCTGAGGATGGAAACAACACGTTCCATCTCAGAAACACATCTAATCTGTTCGAGAGAAATCAATGAGGCAAAAATTAGAAACATTGATATTTGTAAAACGGAGCAAATTAAGGCCAAGCGGCAAAACCAAGAGTGTCAGTGAAGTGACCCAGATGTTACTGAATATAGTTACTGAATATGGTTACTGAAGTATTTCCTCCAGTTTTTCTTTTCCAGACTCTTTGGTTACTGTCGTACAAAGAGGTGAAATCCAGACACTTCATTCAAAGGAGCTGTCGTCTGACACGTCTCAGTCTCCTGTCTATGACCCACCTGCTGGATGTACTGCAGGGGGATCCTGTCGTGCCCCAGCTGCTGGTTGATAAAGACGAGGGAGTAGAGGTAACCCATTCGACCGTAAAGCAGCTCGTCCGGCAGCTCGCTCGATCCCATCACCACCGACTGGTGAAACTGCAGCAGTCTGAGAAAAAAACACAGAAACATCATTTGTCTTGAAAACTTCAGATAAACTTTCTGAAGAGTAACTGTGTACAATTAATCATTAAACTAGATTAAAATGAGATCTGATATTAGAAACATAAAGAACTAATTCTAATGGTACAGAAGAATCGTATACACTGATCCTCACATCTGTTCAAACGTTTGAATATTCATATATATGAGCTTAACTATTGTGCTTGTTCTGCACTAACCTGTTGATGCACTCGTCGGTCTCATGCGCCCTCTGCAGGCGATGGAAGACCACGGCAGCCACAGCCAGCGGCCCCGCATCCCCGCAGAGGAAGGTGACGTCATGGCGTCGGGTCAGACACTTCAGGCTGCGGCTGACATAATCCAGAGCCCTGTGGAGGAAGGACTCCTCCTGGAACACGCTGTGGAGGTGCAGGTAGAGCAGAGCGATGCCTGCCGATGGACAACAGAGAGTCAGACAAACGGACAAAGGGACTGTATTGTAGTTTCTTGACCCCAGAAAAGGCCCTTTACATTTAAATACTTCATATTTAAATACTTTATGTTTACATGGAGCGGACCCTCTCTACGGAGGCCGCCATGTTTGTTACATTAGTCCAGACTGGACAAACTAAAAACCTTTTGAGTTTTTGTGACAATTAAAGTCTTCCACGGTTTCTTTTTCATGTTTGGAAGGAGAGGGTGAGGTGAGGGGTGTCACCAGATATCACTAAATTCTACACACTGAACCTTTAACTCATTTAGATCCTTTTTTATTTCATTTTGATCATCAGTCATTTTTACACAAATGCCCCAGAATTCTCCTGGAATGTGAAGATTTTCTGGATTTTAATTCTCAATTATTTATGATGTTTAACGATTTATTGCCTTTATATTTTCTATTCATTCGGTTTTTCTATAAATATATTTATATCTATTAAACAAACAGGTTGATAGATTGAATCTGAAGTTTTACTCCCTAACAGTGAAAACCTACATCAGCTAGTTTGAATGTTACTGATCACGTTGCGTCTCTGAATGAAATCTAATCCTCACGTCGTGATTCAGAGGACGCGATGTTGTGGTTTGTGAACGTGTGGAACTGTGTCACCTGTCCAGCCCGTGTACGTGCTGCAGTCTCTGGGATCTGCAGACTTCAGCCCGTTCTCCATGACGGAGAGAAGCTCGCTGATCTTGCTGCTCAGTCTGTGGCTGAACTCTGGTGTGAGCTGGAGGGGGAAGGAACAAGAACCTCAGGAGGGACAACAACACAACAACAACACAACACACACCTCCTCCTGCACCTCCTGCACCTCACCTTCCCCTGGGAGTCAAACAGCTGGGATGTGCTGCCATCGTAGTCTGGATAGGGATTCTTCACAGCTCTGGAGTCCATGTTCACCTGAGGAGGAGGAAGATGAGGAGGAGGAGGAGGAGGAAGAGGAGGAAGAGGAGGATGTTTACTGTCAGTGTGGCTCAGATAAAAACAAAGAGACGAAGAGATGAAGCTCAGGAGACGGAAGAGAAATAAACACGAGAACCGTGAGATATAGATTAATAACAGAGAACAAACCAGATATATAACTCAGGAGACACACACACACACACACACACACACACACACACACACACACACACGCACACGAACACACAGACACACTAAAGCTAGCTGCAGCCTCCAGTTAGCCTAGCTGCTAAAGCTAGCAGCGGCTAACAGCGGGACTTACAATAAAGTCGCAAAGGCGCCGTTTGGAAAGAAAACCGACCGTCGGTGATAAAAGTACAACGTGAATAAAACAACACAACTCACACACTGACGCTTCCTGTCTGCACAGCTGAGGATGACGTGAGCGTCAGTCAGCGCGGTGCTGCCCCCTGCTGCGGCGGGGATGGAACTACAGCCCACAAAGAATAAAATCAATCAATTATTCAATAAAGATGATAACGAGAAAAATAAGAGAAATATCTACGAATAAAACTAGATAGATGAACAGAAAAACTAAAGTGATCATTCAAAACATAGATAGATAGATAGATAGATTTCTGACAGTGTGATTCCTTTAACAACCTTTAAAGAAAGATAAACACAAATCAGCTGTTTCCTCTTGTGCCTTAAATAAAACGTTCAGATCTATTATTCAAAACACTAAGATACTGAAAAAAAAGCCATCTTATCAGTGACTAATCTCCCCACCATCAAGCTGTGGTGGGATTTGAACCATGAACCTTCAGGAGTCAAGCCCAACAGCGTCTCAGCAGCACTATTGAACGTCCACATCATTTCTTTTCACATTTTTTTCACTTCACAACACGACTGGGGGCAATGAACTTCACTGTCAGACACCTGTCATTTCAAGAAGACAGAGGCTGAAGCGTGTCTGGTCAAGTCGCTCAGTCTGTCAGAGGATGGACTTGCACATCTGAAGTCATGTGTTCAAATCTTATGGGAGCCAGTGAATTTATTAAGTTTGATTCCGAAGTGAAGAGTTAAAGGCGCCACGAGAAGATTTGTGAATGTGAAGGGGACTTGGTGGTGTGGAGGGTTGGTGCGCAAACACAAGGGTGTATCAGTGAGGAGCTGGTTCAAATCCTCACTGTGACTGATAACCAGAGCATGTGTCTGATGCAGCGGCTCAGATGGTTAGAAGGTTGACCCATAGATTGTGGGACGCAAGTTCAATTCTTGTGACATCCAAGAAATTTTCACTGTTCAAACCCAACGCAAAAAGTCAAAGGTTCGAAGAAAGCAAAGATATGTGTCCAGGTGAATGGCTCGAGTGGTTAGAGCGCTGGCTCGTAGATCCTTGGTCATGGGAACCAGCGGCTCGGTAAGCGCAGGCTCCAAAACTCCATCGCCACATCCTGGGACCAGAGGAAGTGGTTCCATGTTGATGAATTTTATATGATTGGCAGATATTTAAGTATTACATCTGTAACATATAGAATAAACTGACCAACACATTAAATATGACTATTAGCCAAGGTTGAAGAAACAATACATTCAACTTTATTCATAAGTAGTGCTCACAATTTCAAGCATTAGACAGAAGTGTAATATCTTAATAGCATCATATCGTGAGCTGGGCAGGATTCATGCCAAAATATCCAGGACACAAAAGCTTCCATCTTGTGCATTTGGAGCCAGAGTCTGCCACATCTGGTGCAACTGGCTCTGTGCTGCTGTGAGAGGCCTTCAGCTTGAGACAGACAGCTGGAGATCTGCAGGAAGTAAGAGTCACAGTCAGTCAGGGTTGTGTTCTCCATCAATTCACACAGCTTAGTGTTTGTACAACTACAACTCACTGATGTTTTCAATCAAATGATATATATATATATATGTGTGTATTTGGGGTTTGGTAGGGCTGGGTGATACAACACTGTTGATACAACGTGTAGACTCTACTGACATCTGGTGGTGAAGCTGTGTGTTGCAGCCTCTCCTTCCAAACATGAAAGAATATTTTAGACGACAAACTAACCTATGACTTTGTTTCCGTGTTTTATTTTCCATAGTTTAGTTCCGGACAAAACAAGTGATCAAGTGTTTTACAAGAGAATTTCACACAGGTGTGGTTAGCTTGTGATGCTAGCTTAGCTTAGCATTGACGTGAGGAACTAATGAGACGAGTTTTCCTCTAAAACACAAGTGAACAATGAAAAACATGCAGCGACACGTCGAACACACAGAAGATCGAATAACTGTGTTGATATTTGAAACAGGATTCACCTCATGAAGATCTATGGGCTCCGGATCCAGGAAGTACCGACTGGCAAACAGGAAGAGGAGGAGTCCAATGGGGTTTATGGAGAAGGGGAACTTGGAATATACCAAGTTAGACAGACTCGCGGGGGTGGAGTTTGTATATGTTTTTATTAGTAATTCTATTTAAACTATTCTATTTCAAACATTAGCATGTAATATTAAAATGATGTAAGGAATAAACCTCTAAGGTTCTCTGTGGGGGGAGCACGGAGCCGAACAGAACGCACCTGGGTTCTGTCTGTTTCACTGAAGTTTGACATGGTCACAAAAGAAAACAGAGATGATTCAATATGGATTTGAGCCAATAACATTCTGCTGTCCAGACCTGCTCGGCATGGAGCATGGGAGAGATGACGACTTGGCGCCACGCACAAGGAGCGCTGTTCTATCTGTCCGATTAAAATCTCATTGACTCACATTTAGATCCTCGGTTTCCTTCAGAGAAAGTCTGATGGCACAACATCAGAGATTCCTTCGACGGCACTCGATCCATCTTCTCCGCTGGTGCTCAGCCTCTCTCCCTCCTTCGGTATCCCCCCCAGACAACGAGCCCGGGGCGAGCTGTGGTATTTACGGTGACCTGCCCTTTACCTCACCGCTGGATCTAGGTCCCTTTACTTGCTTTTTGTTTTTCTACTGAAAGGAAGCAAGCGAAGGCCAAAAAGAAAGAATATACAGGAGAAAGATACTCGATCTTGACCTCTGACCCCGAACACCCCAAAGCTGCTGCTCACCTTCACCGGGGCTGAATGCCGACACAGAATTACTGACCATCTCCGTCTGCAGACAAAACCTGGTTCTCACAGTGAGCCGATACACCTGGTGATCAATGTTCACTAAATACACTTTTCATTCTAATTTGCAAACAAACGATATTTGTTCAACTATAAGTTCACATGTAATCACAGATTAAGGGTCCAAAGATCTGTTCCCATTCACTCTGGAGCTAACTTTATAAAACAGACGTAATGTAGTACAATGCAGTACAATGCAGTACAATGCAGTACAATGCAGTACATTCAAAGAGTAAATATTCAGAACAAAAATCTGCATTTGATGAATTCAGTTCTACAGAAATCTGATTTCATTGCACATGTACACACATCTGTCTTCTGTCCATCGTCTCTCACAGTTCTGGCGCCATCTGCTGTCCACTACACGTACTGTCACACATGTTAAACACTCAGTTACAGATGAACAACACATGAGACATGAGACTTTCAACACTGACACAAATGGTGGTATCTATAACACGTGACTCACTATTTCTAATGAATTACTACTATAGTATTATGTGTAGAGTGTGTGCAGGTTTCAGCACAGTGTGTATATGTACATGTTGTTACTGTAATACCACCATAACGGTCTGGTGAGTTTATTGAAACAGGAGAATACACGCACAAAGAAAATCCTTGATCCCCTCAGAGACACAGTGAAAAGGGATTTGACTGAAAGTGTTCCACAGACAAAAGACTGAAATAACCCTGAGTGTACAAAACAAAACAAAGCTACAGGTTGTCGTCCTTCAGAAAACTGCAATTTCTTTTTAAATTCGCAAGAAATAAATTTAGTCTTTTGAATATCTACATTTATTATAATATTTCCGTCCAAAAATATCAAATCTACCTTCGGATATGTTAGGAAATCACTGGATTTTAAATTAGATTCCACAAATGACTCTGGTGTGGAGTTTATTGCATGATGAGATCAACTCCAGTCAATTTCTAGAGTAATTACATTCAATTAATTAACTGATGATGATTGGCTATAATTTCATGATTACAGCCTTTCGACATCATGATATGAAATTCAATTGAGCCAATTTCGGTTTTGTTCGTTTGTTCGTACCTTCAACCTTCAACATTCAACTGTTTGTTGAAATGACTATTAAATTACTTGTATGTACAGATTCTACTTACATATAATACAGACTGTGATGTTAGTACTATTGAGAATGAATTAGAAATAGAAATCACAGAGTAACAATGGTCTCACACACACACACACACACACAGTGTATGGAGGGTAACTCTGAGGTGATCGTGGGCGACATGCTGCCAAATGTTCACGTTAAGTCTTATGAAGAAAAACATTATCGGAGAATTAGCTGAAAATATTCGACTGGCAAAGCCAAACTCCTGCTGTTCCCATGATGCTGCCGTCCTCCGCCACTGGAGGGCAGCGGTCCTCCACTTCCTCCACAGTGGGCCGCCTCCGCTTGATTTGAATTGGATTTGCATGAGCTGCTTCTCACTCCTCATATTTTACATTGAATCTCACGCTCTCGTCCCTCAGGCCCAGAAATTCTCCGTCTCTCCGGATAATCCCGCCGAGCTTCCTGCGGCTAACACGGCACGTCGTCTCGAGCGGCACTCGCCCCGAGTCTCGGCAGCATCCACACCTCAGACTCTGATGATGCTGATGGAGGACGAGGCTCTGTGCAGCTGGAACCAGAAGACAACGACACTGAGATGAAACAAACACATGAGTCACAAGCACAAAGAGACAGAACATGAACGTGACTCATAAACCTCACAAGAGTGCGGCTCACGTTCTCGTGCAGCGCCACGTGCCCTGGCCTACGTCTGTCAAAAGATTTAGAATCAACCAGCACGGACATTCATGAAGACGTCCCATCGGACTCAGTTTAAGTTTAATTGCTTCGTGTGTTTTGGCTGAAAAATATAAGAAATTAGAACCAAGTGACTTTGGGGACGTCGATAACGAGGAGGTGGCGTTCCTCGTTAGCGAAGCAGCCGGAGAGGAAGCTCATCGTGTTTGGTGCTTTGTGTGTTTTAATGGTTGAGAACATGTTTCTAATAGATTCAATTAAAAGCTCAGTGTTGCATTTGAAACTCAGTTAATCTTCGCCCACAGCTCTCAAATGTTTTTCTAAATTCATCCTGTGCAGCCGAACCGACAGTTTTCAAATGTTCCAGATAAAACTTCTGTAATATTTATGTATTTTAAAATTAGAGCTGCAGCATCAATGGGACCGGATGAAACCTGCAGTCGTGATGTCAGAGACTTCTCTCACTCTCTCCCTCAGTGATCTCGGGGGAACTGAGGAACTTTTTCTCTTCTTCTGTTTTCCGATGTTTGATCCACTGCTGTGTTTGTGTTCACATGGCGTCGGGTCGGCGCTCTTCCTCGCAGCCAGGTGACAACAAACATCTTCACAGAGCCGCAGAGTCAACTCTGCTCATTCCCACTGATGCGCGGCAACAACCCAAACGAGCGTCTGCAGCTCGCTCTGCGTTTCCAGCTGAGCGGTTTTATATTTAGCTTTGATAACGGCGGATCTGGTTGCTAGGAGACCTCTGATGAAACAACAAGGGGCCCTTCAGAGGAAACTGAATATTTCTGGCAGCCTGGAACGACGCGGCATTATAGAGAAGAGGTGCATTGAAACTACGGAGAGGAGGCTCAGGAGGAGGAATGCGTCACCCTGCTGCTGCGCACGGCTCCGTTGTGGTAGACGGGCGAGCTGCCGGCCGAAGCGTTGTAGTAGGTGGAGGTGGCGCGGACCAGCGGCCGCTTGGCTTTGTCTTTGCTGCTGTTGGAGTCGTTGTCTTTGATGATGTCATACTGTCGGCAGAACAGGGCGATGACGGCTGGAGCACAAAGACAAACACACAAAAGAAGTCAGTGGAGTCACAAAATGACAACAAAGACACAAAACGTCCTCAGAGTGACACAAAGAGACATGACGTGAACGTAAGGGGACACGAAGTGACCAACAACAGAAGGAAAATGAGCACAAAGAGACAATGACAAAGACAATAAAATGTTGCCATGGAGACACTGAAGAAACAAATGAACACAAGACAACAACAGAGAGACACAAAACGATGACAAGATCAAACAAAGAGACTCAACGTGATCAAGAGGGGACACAAAACAACTAGGAAAGACAATGTCCTCATGACGGGGAGGTGGTGATGATGGTGGCATGAGAAAACCTATCGTCCTCCACACACACACACACACACACACACACACACACACAGACACACACATGGCGGCTCACCTGCCCACAGCAGCAGCACCGTGGTGATGATGAGCAGCTCTCCTGTCTGAAGGTGCGGAGTCATTCCCAAACCTTCCATCGCTGGTTCATCTGAGGACCAATCAACATCCAGCTCCGTCAAACGTCAACAATCACACGTGTGTACTGTGTGTACTGTGTGTACAGTGTGTACTGTGTGTACTGGGTGTATTTACGGTGGTCCAGGACTCCGACTGGATAATGGTCAGTTCTCTCCAGAGTCCTGAAGTGGACGGCGCGGCTGGGTTGGCTGTCCCCGTGCGGCCCGACGGACTGCACCTAAATAAAGACAAACAACAAAGTGCTGCTGAAATACTGAGGATATATCAGAGAGCCCGTCATTGACCGAGGGCGAGGCGTTGTGTAACGCCGTGCGAGGGTGTATTTAACGAGCAACCAGCTTTTGTTTTTGGCCGCAGTCCTGGATAATCAGCGGAGGACAAATGTTTCTGGGAAAGAAGACGCAGAGTCGGGGCTCGAAAGATAAAAGGAGAGAGGAGTGAAAATCTTTTAGAACTGAAAGAAATCAACACGTCTGAAGGAGAATTTCTCATTTGAGCAGAACACAGATGTTTGAAGCAGCGACGGCAGAGCGACAACAGTAAATATTCAAGTCCTGGAGTTTGGTCCTCTCCCTGATCCGTCCTCTCCCTCTGGAAAACCATTCAACTGTCCACACAGAAGTCCTCACTTCTCTCCTTCCTCTTACTGTCCTCCCGTCCACAGGGAGGTCGGAGGTCAAACCTCAGCCCCCCCCCCCACCCGATGCTGGCGAGACTTCAGCGCTCTGTGACACTTCCTCGGGACATCTGCCTGCTGACGAGCACATTCAACACGAGTCCTCCGGCTGGAGGACGGAATGTGGATGAGGTCTATTGAGCTGTGATGGATTATGAAAAGTTCAACAGACGTCAGGATGTACGTATGTCAGACTGAATTCTTTCGTCCCTAAATTACAAAGATTAAAAAGAAAATGTCTCCTTCAGGTTTTAAAAAAACGTGAACATGAATCAGACGCAAATATAAACACAAACAACATGAAGACACAGTATGTGTGTGTGTGTGTGTGTGTGTGTGTGTTCTCACCTGGACGCTGTAGTGTGTGTCCTCGTCCAGGTCCCACAACACACACCAGCGGCTCGACGTGTTCACCTCTCGGATGGAGCGCTGCATCAGGCCGTCCTGCCTCTGGAGACAAATGTACAAACACAAGAAAGTGCACGTGACA